CTGTTTCTTGAATATTCTTATTAAATTTTTCTTCCCATTTATTTTTTAAACTTCTACTGTTTTCTTCCAATTCATGTTTCAAACTTTTATTATTTTCTTCCAATTCACGTCTCAAATTTTCACTGTTTTCTTCCAATTCACGTTTCAAACTTGTACTATTTTCTTCCAATTTATTTTCCAAAGTTTTCCTGTTTTTCAATCAATTTTTTAACCTACTACAAAAAACACAAATAAAATATATAGTTACATATTCACTTACTTTAGAATTTTCAAATTCTACTTCCCTCGTGATTGCCTATGTAGGTACTGAAAAATTCGTTTTCGTCGACAAAGAAATTAGGGTCATCCTCTTTGCTTTGTTCATCGACGTCTTGAATATGTAACTCTTCGGAATAAATATTTCTTGGGCCAGTATTAAAAAAATGATTACGGAAAGGTGTTTTTTGAATAAAATTTGGTTTAGTGAAAGTTTGTTTCGCACTTACAGATATTGGTGTAGGTTTATTAGGAACAAAAATTTTCTGTGGATTTTAATTTGGTTTTGGGGAAATGTTGAAGGCAAAGGTAAATTCTGATTAATGTTAAAAGGTACAGGTTTTAAATGAATAGAAGGAAAAGCCGGTGTGACAAACGAATTGCTATTTGGTATACTATTGTTTTGCTTCGTGTTCCTTTGAATTAAATTCATAAAATTAATTTGGTTCTCACGATTTTGATATCCTCTGCATAAATGTAAACGCTGGTCTATACTATTGGGCTGACTATTTCGTAAATATGGATGATAGGGTTCAGTTATTTCCGTTGGATAAATTTTCAAAGCCTCCGACCTATATAGTTGACATCGCGATTTACGGTTCTTAGAGTAATATGTTCTAATAATACCCATAAGAGAGAATTTAATGTGTGCTAATAGGTTTAAAATGTGTCACTACGTTTCTGTTTGAAGAGCATTGATCAGTATTTGTTCCGATCTTGGGTCACCAAATTTTTCTACAAGAGCATCTTTTAATTCAGACCACTTAGTATACGTACTGTTTATTAATATATTTCTAGCACTACGAGAAAGCTCAGTTCTTATGTGTTCGAATGGCATTAAAGACATCATCTATCGTTAAACGTTTAATAAAATTTTCAGTTTAACTTATAAAATAGGTAAGGTCTTTAGAACCAGTCTAATAATTTGGAATAGTTTCTTTTAAAAGACCAAATCTGATTTTAAAATCTTGAGGCGCAGCTAACGTTGTGCTTGATAAATGACTTTACTCGAAGTTCCTGTTTTGTGTGAAATATCCATCTTATTTGTAATTAGATCTACAATAGATTCTTCATTGTCGGAATCGGAACTGTCTATACTCGGAATTCTTTCTAAAAAGGAGAGTACTCACAGTGTGGTACCAGGAACGAAATCAAGAACTCGATTGTGAAGACCTGTAGTAGAAGGTGGCGGCTTCTTTAGAACTTCCTAGATGGTTCTTCAGTTCAGGATGAATTCTTTGTTTCTCTATTTTGACTGATTTGCCTTGATGAGTTAAAACTCACCGTTCCACTGACCGAAACGTTTAGTTAGACAACTCTCTTCGCAGCTCCAGTTATAACACACAAGCCTAAATACTTTTGATTATAACGAATTTATTAAACACAGGTTGCATAAATCAAAATAAAGGTTAAGACAAAGAGTCACTAGTACGAAAAACTAATACGAAGTTTCGACTTGTTCGTCGCCTACACATTCGTTATATTTATACTTTTCTTAACCTATTTGTATTTTGCTAAACAGTGCCCTTATGTTTATTTATTGTCTAGTAGTCCAGGACATATTAACAGCTATATTCAACTGGCTGCCCGATATTTATTTTCAGGGTTCCTTGTGTTTAGAAATGTAGGGGAGAGTAAGGGAATGACGGCCACTTCAGAGAAATTGGGCATAACTGGAAAAGTATTTTAAATTAATTTTTGAAATTACTATAATGTTGAGTTCGAAGTATGTATTATTGCGTATTGTACCACCTTTATCAGCAAAATTGGCTGAAAGGGAGATATTCGACACTAAACGGAAATATGAGATTGACCGGTTTTTCCCCATCATGCGGGTAATTTCAGTCAGTGCTGTGGGTAATACCGGTCAGGATATTCTCAATTGTTTTCAGCGGTGATTACATTTTATGTCAAAAAAATGGAGAGAAAATCTAAAAACTTAGAACGAAATATATGTTTTATTTATTCACAATAAAATAACATAAATTCTGTAGGTTATTCTCCAGAAGATGTCCGCGGAGTTCCATTACTGTTTCCTAAAGGTCTCTATAAGTTGGTTTATCAGAGCATCTTCCTTTGGTTACTATGTAATAGATATTGCGTCGTCCGTTAGGCAGGCACAACAGTCTTCTTCCCTTCTGTACTTGGTCTTCAAGATGTTCCAAACCGCCAAATCTGCGTTTGAACTCGGATGCGATACCACGGCTCATTCTGAGATCCTTTTAAACACAATCGGTTAGAGAATATTCCTTAGATATAGAAAAGAGGTTTCGTCGGATTTCTTGCGTTACTCCAAATTTCCTGATAACATGGGGGCCTTCCTTCATGAACTCTTCGAATGAGGGCTCGGAAGGAATAGTTCTTAATAGTCGTGCGGGCCAGATTCATTTGCACTGACGAATGAAGCCAAGCGATTAAAATGGATCACCTTCGGCTTCCCATTAGGAGTTTTCTTAATTCGGTTGATCACTTAGTTAATCCTCTTTACTATCTCATAGGGCCCTTCCCAATTCTGTTGGAACTTAGGTGATAGTTCATGGCGACGACGAGGATTATACAACAAAACAAGATCTCCAGTTTGGTAACCGCCTGCTTTGCCTTGATATCGTAGTTTTCTTTTATCCTGTCACTAGCAATCTGCGCATGCAGACGAACCGACTTGTGGATATCGTTAAACTTTCTGCGGAGGTTAGTAACATAATGTTCTTCAGCCAAGTCACCTCCTGGTGTACAGCCGAATTTCACGTCACAAGGTAGTCGTAACTCCCTTCCAAACAGGACACTGGCAGGTGTTTGGCCAGTTGTTTCGTGGACAGTTGACGGTTTGCCATTAAAAATGAAGACAAATAGCTGTCCCAGTCCCTTTGGTGAACAAACACTACCTTGGAGAGATATTTATTCAAGGTCCGATTCATTCGCTCAACCATGCCGTCCGATTGTGGATGGAGTGGAGTGGTTCGCGTTTTTTTTATTCCCAGGAGCTCGCATATTCCACAAAATATAGCCGATTCATAATTCCTCCCTTGGTCTGGGTGCAACTCCAAGGGCACCCCAAAACGACTGATCAACTCGTTCACCAGCTCCTCAACTATGGTTTTCGACTGCTGGTTTGGAAGGGCACAGGCTTCAACCCACTTGGTAAAATAGTCCATAACCACCATGATGTACTTATTACCCTTCTCGGACTCTGGGAATGGACCGACCACATCGATTGCGATTCGTTCGAAGGGGCCACCGACATTGTATTGACGCATTAGCACCCTTGGCCTTTTTTGTGGTCAGTTGCTCTCGGTACAGGTGGTACACTTTTTACACCAATTCTTGACATCTTCCTCACAGTTCACCCAATAAAATCGCTTTCAAACTTTCCCAAGCGTCTTATTCATTCCAAAATTTCCACCAGATAATCCATCATGAAGATACTGCAACATCTCTCTAACCTTGTTTCGAGGAATAACTAGCTTCCTATCTTCCTCTCCATCTGGACTTTCAACAACAGGCTTCAGGATGCCATCATCCAAAACTATCGAGTCCCACTGAGCCCATAACGATTTTAGTACTTGGGTACAGAAAGAAATGTGCTGCCACGTTGGTCATTTTCCGTTTCTTTTCCATTTCATCACCTTCTTCAAGTCCGGGTCGTTTTCTTGGTCGTGTTTTATATTTTCAGGTTACCACTCGTCATCGATTACCGTGACGCGTCGAATTACCTCTTCATTCTTTTCTATTCGATCACACTGCTTGCAGTCTGTTTGACAAGATCTACTGGAAAGTGCATCGGCATCCTTGTGTCCGGTTCCAGGCCGGTGCTCTACGTCAAAATCATATTCCTGTAGCTTCAGTCTCAGAACGCGTCTTCTCAAATTCATGTCAAAATCGTATTTTTGCAAAACGTCTAGCCCAAGAATTACGTCATCTTCAATATCTGCCACAAGCACTCAATGGTCAAAGGCAGCCTTACCGATTTCAAGTGACACATTAGCTTAGCCACGAACAACCGCTTCTTCTCCGGTAGCCGTACGCAGAACCCACTTAGTTGACACGGCGTGGTTAGAACCCTTAACTACGTTGGGTTTTACTATGCTCCTAGTCTTTTTGTCCGTGGGTCAACGTTTGCCCCGTTACGTCGACCCTATCTAGTTTTCCTGCTGTTGGCGGCGAGTACTTGGGGAAGGAGTACTTTTTCTACACTATCTTTTCGTATGACCTAGTTCGCCGCAATTCCAACATCTTAGCTTTCGAGTTACTTTATCGAACTTGGAGATGATTCGGCAGACGGTCTCTTCTAAAGATTCTGACGAATCCGTTTCTTCACACAGTAGCCGAACCGTGTACCCTGTTTGCTATTGGACCGTTTAACTGTTTCGTACTCCAATGCACAAGCCAATGCATCAGCTAGCGTGTTAGGTCGGTCAAGGCGTATTCGTTGTTGAGTGTCACTGTCCCGGAGTCCATCAGTAAATGCCTCCACTGCCAACCTTTACATCAATTCTTCGGTAGTATTAGGATAGGCCAGTCGAGACAGTCTCGCAATATCGGCCTCGAATTCTTGTAAGGTCTCTGTTGGTTTCTGCTGACGGGTTTTGAGTGGGATGTGATACAGCGCTGTTAAATGAGCCTTGTCGTAGCGCAATTCTAACCGTTTTACGAACTGTTCATAATCCGTCAATTCTTCCGGGGAGAGGGTGTTCAAAATGTCACATGCATCTCCACGAAGCGCAACGGTCAGCGCAGTGGCTTTTTCTTCATGTGCCTAGGACAAACCCTGTACATATCAAATGCACATGCTTACATTATGTTAGTTTTTACTGCATACTGCTGACATTCACATTTATACCTATGAATACAAATTTGGCATGCACTACAGTATAACATTTTGCATTCTCTTTGACCTAGTTCATTATATGTAACATTATAATTCAAATTTTCTGAAGATGACTTTACCTTAAATTTACCAAAACCTACCTCAGTTACAGCAGTTTTTTTCATTTTTTCAGCAAATCTATGTGCTTTTATTACCACTTTGTTCTGATATGTGTTTGCATTGGGTCTTTCCATATTCAATATTCGCTGCCACATTTTTTCATCCACTAATTTGTCAATTTTATCCAATAAATTCTCAATAGTTATATTCGATCTTCTTTTTATCTGATTTGTATTCAGGAGATTATTTAAACTTTCCAGTGCCATATTAGTGTTTATTCCAGCATTTATCCTGTAACAATGTGCCCACATACTTATTCTTTCCTCACTCTGAAGATTTAAGACAAAACTTATCAAAAACATGAAACCGTAATCTATACATACTTATTTAAATAGCGTAGGAATTCAGTTTCGTTTGCCTCTGTTAATTTCTTCATGTAGTTCTCGTAATTATGAATCAGTAATAAATATCTCCTTTTTGATTTCATTTCATAATCTTATTTAAATCACTTTCATCGTCTTTTTTAAGTCTTTATTTTTCCCTTGGATGTTCCAGTTCTTTATAACGTGCCAAGTACGTAATAATCGTTGTGGTTTCTTTTCCATAACTTTTACCCATGCATTATAATATTTAACATTATCATCTGTCATAAAATAATCAGCATTAATAGAATGCCCTACTCTAATTTTAAGCGCAATCAAGTCACCAATACTATTGTCAATTCCAAACCCTTTCTATTTGTTCCAAAAGTTCCATCCATACATATAATTTTTGAAAATTGTTTTAATTTATCTTATCTTCCATTACCGAATTCATAAAACTCAAAGCACAATCACCTTCTCTAAGCATTTTATGTTTTTCTCCTATAGACCCAACACCAAAAATAAGCCAAAAAATAAACTCTATACTACAATCTACACCAACACAAAGAATACTAATCACCTTCTCGTTTAAAAATAAATACAAAGTTTTTGTTGTTAGAATTCCACTCTTGAACTTTCATAGCTTCAGCTATCATATCTACCTCATGTCTTCTATTTTCCACATTATACTTCCTTTTTAGATACTTAATGTCTTTACGATTAATTAAATTTAACCTACTTAAGCTATTATCCTCAAGCTGCCTACAATTATCTAATATTCTTGCAACTGTTATTCCCATCTTCAATTTTTCTACTATCTCATTTTTATCTTTTATCATTAAATGCTGACTTCGTATTTCTTCTTGATGCCCTACATGTGTTTTACAATATAAATTGCAGTTTTTGGAAAATTGCTTATTACAGTAAATACATTTATACTTCGCATCATTGTCCATTCACTTGAAGGAAACGCAAACAAAAATTAGTGATTAATAAGGTACAAATACAATCAATATTTCTACACTGTTATTTACACTACAACTTATACTGTAAACACAAAAATAAGTACTTTTTTTTAAGAAAGAAAATTAAATTCTAAAAATGACTAATATAATATAACAGATATAACGTAAAAACGTCTGCCTAATAATATAAACAAATACATTAAATTGTTCGACACTATTTACACCAGCACCACTTATAAGCTAAACACAAAAATAAGTAATTGTTTTAAGAAAGCAGAATAAATTCGCTTTTTAAACAATGATTATGAGTCTTTGTTTAATGCATAGATTAAACACTGTTGCATGTGCACAATTCTGCAGATGAAGGAAATCCAAAAACGAATGAAATAAATCAGCATACACGATTAACCATGAATTGAATTGACGGTTAAAAATGTAGTTAGAGGTTAGAACGATTTAAAAATATGAAAAAGGGCGGCAAGGCGATTCTCATAGATATTCTTGACAAAAAGTGTTCTTCGGCTTGTAGTTCATCTGCAGGGTAATTAATAAAATGATAAATTTCTACCAGCGATTTAAATGAATCAAAAAATGCTAGCCACTGATTGTATGCACCTGAAAATGGTTGAATATTAATCGTTGGCATACGTGCATGTAATTCATTAATTTCTGAAGCTTGTGCAGATGTAATGTTTAGGCCTACACTAGTGTTTGAAATTGAAGCAGTATTCATTTTAGATTCTTCACTGATAATAAGTTTTTCTGCCCTATTAAATAGTTTGTAGTAATCCTCCTCAAAATCATCGCGATCGTTACTTTCTTCAATTGCCGCACTATTTAATAGTTCTATTTCTGATTGAATGTCAAATTTTTGAAAGTTAAGTTTGAAATTAGTTAACCTTTGTTTAATACCTAAAGCATCTACATTATGCGCACTGACGCTGTCTAAATACTTTTTGAAACGAGTTACGTTAGCTCTAATCTGGCCGCGCTTAATATTAAGATTCTTAATAATTCGGCTCGAAGGACCAAATGTTACCGTGAAAACACGGGCGTATATTTTCTCAAAATGTTCACGAAGTGTTCAATAAAAATAACTTCAAAAATCGAACACAAACTCTATTTACATATTTCTTAATAACTAAAGCCTAGCAACATATATTGTCTTTGTTTACCACCACCACCAAATTCCATAAATTGAACGGTATGGAAATAACCCAAAACAGGGTAGTTTGTGTTGGTCTGCACCAGGTCCTTGACCTTCGGTTAGATGTTATTAGTCACGTATTTCCGAATCAATGTCGATAACTTGGGCCAAGTAATACCGACACGAAACTTTATTGTAACTATTGTTCGTAATTTGTTTGTGGGTCTTTTGTGTCCGCACGTACGCGTTTATTGGGTTTTCAAATTTAAATAATTCATTGAAATCCCCAAAGAATAATCTCATGTACCAATTTTTATTGTATGCATTTTTATTTTATGTTTTCCTATGAAAGAGTTGAACAAGTCTACTCTGTCCATATGCTGGTTGTAATGTCTAATAATGTTAGGGCAGCCACTTTTATGTACTGTTTATATATATAAATAGTGGTGGGATAAAATAGTCGGCAGCACTCATACAGAACATAACTATGACATTTTTGCCTCTCTCTGCCGAAGTTAACTTGCCAACTTGGCGATTACTTTTGAGTGTCAATACTTTAGATTGCTTCTGTACAGTGCTGACCCCTGTCTCGTCGCAGTTATATATATCCAATGGACCAAAATGATATTTTTCATATATTTCATTTAAATTGTTGAAGAAACGGTCAACTTGTGGCCTATTAAAACCAACAGCTCTCATCAGACTCGTTTACTCTGGCCTTCTCAAGCTAAGTTCAGGGTGGCGTTTGATAAAATCATAGTAAAAGCAGCACTTTTCTTGGCCTTTTTGAACCTGTGGTTCAGTTTTAATTTCTTTAATTTTTTGTTAACCGCATGCGCCTATTTCACATATCCACCACGTGCGCAATTAGAGCTTCTTCGTACTCCACGGTAAAGGTTGGGTCAAATCTACCTTTTTTAAGTGGTAAATTTACTTCTTCTCGTTTTAATTTTTGAATGTAGTCAAACAGGGTACTTTTTGGCACATTGTAGACTACACATGACTTTCTCTGAGAAAACTCATTTGACATCACCTTATCGATGGCCTTTTTATTTAGATATTTTGTCTATTACAGATAGACACGTTAACTTAATCGAATAAATAATAAATGTAGCATCGTGCTACAGATGGCGTTTACTACGCCATTTGTAGTATTTTCTAAAACGCGCTGTTAAGACAGCAGGTAATAGTTGGTCTGTGTTCTGTCGGAGCTGCTTGCGATGCCCTGAAGAGATCCAAAAAGATCGAAATCGCGATCCGCGTCTGGCAGTTTCGACAGAATACAGACCACTTCGAATTATTTTATTGTAGTCCCTTGTTTTTATTAATTTCTCCCGCCCTTTACAAACCAGTTATGTTTGGCAACATTACAACGTTAATGTTGTTCTTATCATCGGTATTTTTATTTGCTACCTGTATGACCCCTGTGCTCAATTCCTTTTTTGATAAAAAAACCCTCGATAATTACCTGTTTACCTGTTTACGCTCTGCGCTTAATTCGAGTGTCACCGTTGAATTAAATGCCAACTGAATACAATTTAATATTTCTGTTATTTCATTCAACATAAGAAAGGGTTGTTCAGAAATTTAATAAATGATAAAACAATATTCGTTGTTGCATAGAAAAAAAAGGTAAATTGTTTAACTTGATGAATAAAAACTGTTGTAATGATGCGATGAACTTTTATTTTAAAAACAATTAAACAAAGGCGATTAACTGAATCAAAATTCTTTTTTTGTTGAAACTGTTGAAATGGTTATAGTTAATAACAAATATATTTTGTTTATTAATTTATTTTTATAATTTTAACACAACACATTCTTCTCAATGTAACGTAAGACTAAACAAACTAAAAACATACTTGCTTGCTACTTAACGGAAACATATTATGGAGCACAAATTATCATTCAAGTATCATTTTCATAAATAAACATAAGATTATAAAATTTACCTAATTACAACAGAAACAAAACAAAACTATGTCATTCAACATTCAAAATGCCAACAGTTCAGAAAGTGTTGATCTAACTGCCTGACTTTTTCAGTGTAGACATATTTCCGATTTTTCAATCAATATTATACCAGTAAACCGTTTCATCTCGATATAAAATTGTAGAGAAACCAATTAATGTCATATCATAAATGCTGAAACACTTAAAATAGATGAAAATGGGAATTTAGCTAATTTCAGACAAGAGGTTATCACAGTTACGCTAGATCTACGGAATCTTTCAAATGAAGACATAAATGTATTTTTATTTAAACCGCCACATCAATATCGATCACTATCACCGAAATACATGCGTGAAAATCTTTCATGGATTATCATGGGAAAATAATAATTGATTACAATCTGATAAGGCGTGTTCTGAAAATACAACTTCAGTTAAATGATGCAACAATCATTTATGTAAAGGGGGCAAGAGATTATTAAATATTCATGATATTCTGGATGGTAAAAGTATTAGTATTATCAACTTACGAGGGGAGGGCACGGCTTTGGGGTTATTTTTGGCGTAGCGGTAGCATATCATGTCGAATTTTTATCTGTAAAGTATTAAAGCGCAATACTTAGAAATAACCGAGAAAAATGGATTCAAAGTTTCCCTAGAAGTTCATATTATGAGTTATACAACGATAAGCACTAACTAGTTGTAGCGTAAACATTAATCTTCAGACTCGTATTCCGTATTCACGGAGTCTCACTTTGTTTAGGTTTTTTTTTAAATTTCCTTTTGGAATTAATTTTTGTATCAGTTGTCGATAATTAATCATAATGTGTAGGTAAGTAGTAAAACATAAAATATTGCCACGTATTGAGTTTTTAATTATATTTATGTACATAAACCAGAAT